TTCCCACTTTGCTGAGTGTTTTTATCAGAAAGGGGTGTTGGACTTTGTCAAATGCCTTTTCTGCATCAATCGATACAATTATGTGATTTTTGTCTCTCAATTTGTTTATATGGTGTAACACGTTTATTGATTTGCGGATATTGTTCTAGCCTTGCATCCCAGAAATAAATCCCACTTCTCATGGTGTATGATCTTTCTAATGTAATGCTGGATCCAGTTTGCTAGAATTTTGTTGAGGATTTTAGTATCTATGTTCATCAGGGATATTGGCCTGTAATTCTCTTTCTATTTTTATTGATTTTTTTTTTTTTTTTTTTTTTTTTTTTTTTTTTTTTTTTTTTTTTTTTTACAGAGAGGAAGGGAGAGGGATAGAGAGTTAGAAACATCGATGAGAGAGAAACATTGATCAACTGCCTCCTGCACCCCCCGCCCGCCTCCCACTGGGGATGTGCTCGCAACCGAGGCACATGCCCTTGACCGGAATTGAACCCGGGATCCCTGAGTCTGCAGGCAGAAGCTCTATCCACTGAGCCAAACCGGTTAGGGCTGTAATTCTCTTTCTTTGTGGTGTCTTTATCTGGTTTTGGGATTAGGGTAATGCTGGCTTCATAGAAAAAGCTTGGAATTGTGCTTTCCTCTTGCATTTTTTGGAATAGTCTGAGAAGGATTGGTTTTAGTTCTTCTTTGAATGTTCAGCAAAACTCCCCTGTGAAGCCTTCTGGTCCAGGGTTTTTGTTTGCTGGAAGCATTTTGATTACTGTTTCAATTTCATCAGTAGTTATCGGCCTACTCAGGTTTTTTGATTCTTCCTGATTGAGTTTTGGAAGCTTGTATTTTTCTAGGAATGTGTCCATTTTGTTGAAGTTGTCCACTTTGTTGGAATAGAGTTGTTCATAGTATTTTTTTACAATCCTTTGTATATTAGTGGGATCAATTGTTACTTCACCTCTTTCATTTCTGATTTTGTTTATTTGAGTCCTCTCTCTTTGCCTCTTGGTGAGCCTGGCTAGAGGTTCATCAATCTTGTTTATCCTTAGAAGAACCAGTTCTTGGTTTCATTGATCTTTTGTATTGTTTTTTTGTTCTCTATGTCATTTATTTCTGCTCTGATCTTTATTATCTCCTTCCTTCTGGATACTGTGGGCTTTTCTTGTTGCTCTCTTTCTAATTCTTTAAGTTGCAGGGTTAGGTAATTTATTACCATTTTTTCTTGTTTTTTTGAGGTACGCTTGTAGGTCTATGAACTTCCCTCTCAGGTCTGCTTTCACTGTGTCCCATAGATTTTGGATTGTTGTGTTTTCATTGTAATTTGTTTCCAAGGTGCTTTTTATTTCTTCTTTGATCTCTTTGGTAACCCAATCATTGTTTAATAGCATGCTATTTAGCCTCCAAGTATTTGATTTTTTCCCCCATTGTTTTTATTGTAGTTGATTTCTAGTTTGATGCCACTGTCATCTGAGAAGATGCTTGTTATGATTTCTATCCTCTTGAATTTGAAGAGACTTTGCCTATGTGATAATATGTGGTCTATCTTTGAAAATGTCCCATGTGCACTGGAGAAGAATGTATATTCTATGGCTTTGGGGTGAAATATTCTGAAAACTAGAGGCCCGGTGCACAAAAATTTGTGCACTGGGGGGGATGGGGGAGGCGTCCCTCAGCCTGGCCAGTGCCCTCTCACAGTCTGGGACCCCTCGGGAGATAACGACCTGCTGGCTTAGGCCTGCTCCCGAGTGACAGAGGGCAAGCCCAATCCCTGGGTGCAGCCCCTGGTCGGGCTCAGAGCAGGGCCAATTGGGGAGTTGGGGCGCCACCCCCTGTCATGCACAGAGCAGGGCGATCGGGAGGTTGTGATGCCACCCTCAGTCACGCTCAGGGTAGGGCTGATTGGGGAGTTGGGGCACCAACCCCTGTCACACTCAAGGCAGGGTCGATGGGGAGGTTGCGGCGCCACCCCCTGTCACGCACACAGCAGGGCCAATCAGGGGGTTGGGGCGCTGCCCTCTGTCACTCACAGAGCAGGGCCCACCAGGGGGTTGGGGAGCTCCCCCCTGCCACTCACAGAGTAGGGCCGATAGGGGAGTTGGGGCACCGCCCTCTGTCACAAACAGAGCAGGGCAGATCAGGGGGTTGGGGTGCTGCCCTCTATCACCCACAGAGCAGGGCCAATCAGGGGGTTGGGGTGCCGCCACTCTCACACTCAGGGCAGGGCCGATGGGGAGGTTAGGCTCTACCCTGTCACACACAGAGCAGGGCCCGTGGGGGTGGGGGGATTGGGGCACCGCACCCTGTCACACACAGAGCAGGGCCGATCAGGGGGTTGGGGCGCCGCACCCTGTCACACAGAACCACAGGGCGAACAGGGGGTTGGGGCGCTCCCTCGTATCAGGCACAGAGCAGGGCTGATCAGGAGGTTGGGGCACCGTCCCCTGTCACGAACAGAGCAGGGTGGATAGGGAGGTTGTGGCCCCGCCCCCTGTCACACACAGAGCCGCAGGGCAACCAGGGGGTTTGGGCGTTGCCCCCTGTCACGCTGATCCCGGTGCTGGGAGGTATATTACCCTTTTACTATATAGGATAGAGGGCTGGTGCATGGGTGGGGCTGGCTGGTTTGCCCTGAAGGGTGTCCTGGATCAGGGTGGGGGTCCCCAGTGGGGTGCCTGGCCAGCCTGGGTGAGGGGATGATGGCTGTTTGCAGCTGGTCACACACCCTTCAGGGTGGGGGGTCCCCAGTGGGGTGCCTGGCCAGTCTGGGTGAGGGGTTGAGGGCTGAAGCTCCCAACTGCTACTTTTCTTCTTTTTTCTTTTTTTTTATTCTGGGCCAGCTTTAGCTCTGAGGCTTGGCTCTAGCTCTGAGGCCTCTGCTGCTGAAAGCAGGTATCTGGTTTGTTTCGGTTCTATAATCGAAACTCTGTATCAACTCCAGCTCTGAGATCCCGGCTCGCTGAAAGCAGGTTTCTGGGGTTTTGTTTAGCTTCTATATTTGTTACAATGTTTCTTAAACTGCAAGGTCAGAGGCCGGCAAGGCAGGCGGGGAACGTTGGAGTCCTCCATCACTGAAGGAAGCAAGCCTCATGTTAGTTTCAAGCTGCCTGGCTGCCAGCCGCCATCTTGGCTGGCAGTTAATTTGCATATTGCCCTGATTAGCCAATGGGAAGGGTAGCGGTTGTACGCCAATTACCATGTTTCTCTTTTGTTAGATAAGACTAGAGGCCTGGTGCACAAAAATTTGTGCACTCGGGGCGGAGGGGGGTCCCTCAGCCCGGCCTGTGCCCTCTCGCAGTCTGGGACCCCTCGGGAGATAACGACCTGCTGGCTTACGCCTGCTCCCAGGTGACAGAGGGCAGGCCCAATTCCTGGGTGCAGCCCCTGGTCGGGCTCAGAGCAGGGCCAATTGGGGAGTTGGGGCGCCACCCCCTGTCATGCACAGAGCAGGGCGATCGGGAGGTTGTGATGCCACCCTCAGTCATGCTCAGGGTAGGGCCGATTGGGGGGTTGGGGCACCGCCCCCTGTCACACTCAAGGCAGGGTCGATGGGGAGGTTGCGGCACAACTCCTGTCACACACAGAGCAGGACCAATCAGGGGGTTGGGGCACTGCCCCCTGTCACGCACAGAGCAGGGCCCATCAGGGGGTTGGGGCGCTCCCCTCTATCACCCACAAAGCAGGGCTGATCAGGGGGTTGGGGCGCCGCCACTCTCACACTCAGGGCAGGGCCGATGGGGAGGTTAGGATCTACCCCATCACACACAGAGCAGGGCCTGTGGGGTGGGGGGGCTGGGGCGCCGCACCCTGTCACACACAGAGCAGGGCTGATCAGGGGGTTGGGGCGCCGCACCCTGTCACACACAGAGCCACAGGGCAATCAGGGGGTTGGGGAGCTCCCCCCATCAGGCACAGAGCAGGGCTGATCAGGGGGTTGGGGTGCCTTCCCCTGTCAGGAACAGAGCAGGGTGGATAGGGAGGTTGTGGCCCCGCCCCCTGTCACACACAGAGCTGCAGGGTGATCAGGGGGTTTGGGTGCTGCCCTCTGTCACACTGATCCCGGTGCTGGGAGGCCTCACGGCTCCGCTGTTCCCGGTGCTGGGAGGCATATTACCCTTTTACTATATAGGGTGGAGGCCTGGTGCATGGGTGGGTGCCGGCTGGTTTGCCCTGAAGGGTGTCCTGGATCAGGGTGGGGGTCCCCACTGGGGTGCCTGGCCAGCCTGGGTGAGGGGATGATGGCTGTTTGCAGCTGGTCACACACCCTTCAGGGTGGGGGGTCCCCAGTGGGGTGTCTGGCCAGTCTGGGTGAGGGGCTGAGGGCTGTTTTCAGGCTGGGGGTGACTGAAGCTCCCAACTGCTCCCTTTGTTCTTCCTTCTTTTTTTTATTCTGGGCCAGCTTTAGCTTTGAGGCTTGGCTCCAGCTTTTAGTCCTCCGCTGCTGAAAGTAGGTTTCTGGCCTTTGCTTACAATGTTGCGATCCTGCTGGCTGAAGCCCTGTGGACTAAAGCAGGTTTCTGGGGGTTTTTTTAGCTTCTATATTTGTTACATAGTTGCTTAGAGTTGCAGCTCAGAGGCCTGCAGCGGCAGGCGGGGAACGTTGGAGTCCTCCGTCACTGAAGGAAGCAAGCCTCATGTTAGTTTCAAGCTGCCTGGCTGCCGGCCGCCATCTTGGCTGGCAGTTAATTTGTATATTGCCCTGATTAGCCAATGGGAAGGGTAGCAGTTGTACGCCAATTACCATGTTTCTCTTTTATTAGATAGGATGTCAATTAAGTCCATCTGATCTAGTGAGTCATTTAGGATTGCTGTTTCCTTGTTGATTTTTTGTTTAGAGGATTTATCCAGTGGTGTCAGTGGGGTATTAAAGCCCCCTACTATGATTGTATTGCTATCAATCTCTCCCTTGATATCTTTCAGAAGTTGTTTTATGTATTTGGGTGCTCCTGTATTGGGTGCATATATGTTTACCAGAGTTATATCTTTTTGTTGGATCTGGTACCTCTTTTGTGAAGCGGCAGCTGAGGAGACTCCGGCGCTCATCCTGGACGATGAAAATCCCAAAGAACTCAAGACTGAGAACAACAATCATATTAATTTGAAGGTGGTGGGGCAGGATGGTTCTGCAGTGCAGTTTAAGATTCAGAGGCGCACACCCCTTAGTAAACTAATGAAAGCCTATTGTGAACGACAGGGTTTGTGAATGAGGCAGATCAGGTTCCAATTTGAGGAGCAGCCAATCAATGAAACAGACACACCTTCACAGTTGGAAATGGAGGATGAGGATACAACTGATGTGTTCCAGCAGCAGACGGGAGGTGTCTACTAAAAAGGGAGCCTGCTACTTTACTCCAGAACTCTGTTCCTCCAGACCAAGCAGACATTCTCAATTAGAAAACTGCAAGTTGGTTTCAACACATCTGACGACTACAGTATAGTTTTCTCTATTCTTTCGTTTTCCCCTTCCCCATTCCTTTATGGTACATAAAGTAACCGATGTATGTGCACAAGCATTTGCATTTTTTAAAACTAAATGGCCAATGGTGTGTTTTGATCTACATCAAATGGAGATGGGGTGGGGAAAAAATACTGGTTCTGTGAAAACACCCCCTTTCTCCATTAGTGGCGTGCTTACCCAGCTCCGATCTTTATATTCCAGCAAGTTATTTTGCTCTCACTGTTTAACAAAAAAAGAACAATATAAAAATTCTTGCATACCTTGTTTGATTGGAGAATTTTAATGTTTTTCATTTATCATTGAAAAACCAAGGACAATTTTATAACTTTTTTGTACACAGCTGTTACATGTAGGGCAATTTGAATTAAAGTAGGGATAAATTACTCTAAAATTATGAATCCTAGATAGTTTTCCCTTCAAGTCAAATGTCTTGTTGTTTAAATAAACTTCTTATTAAAAAAAAAAAAAAAGACTTCTTGGCTCCGTGGCCCAGGAAGGAGAGCAGGCTCATCTGGAACTCGCTTCATCAGGAACCAGGAAGTATGGCAGTGGAACATTTGTTTACTTGTAGAAAATGTAACAGTTTCAAGAGATTCTGTTCTGTTCTTGGCTTCCCTCAAAGTCCAGCGAAGGAAATTTTACATCTATCATGCTTGCCTTTAAGTTAATTTTGGAGACCCTCTAAGCAAAGCTCCCCTGCCTTTCATCAGATCTACCTGTCATATCTAATATGGACAGTTCATACTTTGGGATGTAGGTACTTTCTCTATAAGGCAAGCATGCCAAACTCGCGGCCAGAGGATGAGGCATACAGCCCACCAGCCGTGAGTTTGGCATGTTTGCGGTAAAGAGTGGGAGAGGTAGTGAAAGCATGAGAAGTCAGGGAAGCCCAGCTTGGTGTGGCTCAGTAGTTGAGCATCAGCCTATGAACCAGGAGTTCACAGTTCAATTCCCAGTCAGGGCACATGCCATGTTGCGGGCTCAATCCCCAGTAGGGGGCGTGCTGGAGGTAATTGATCAATGATTCTCTCTTATCATTGATTTTTCTCTCTCTCCCTCTCCCTTCCTCTCTATAAAATCAATAAAAACATAATTTAAAAAAAAGTTAGGGAAGAGAGAAACTGCTTGGATTTTAAGTCTTAGCTTTGCTGCTTACTAGCTATGCAAACTCTGAACAAATTATTTAACTTTTTTGTACCTCAGATTCCTCATTTTCAAAATGCATCTAATTATAGAACCTACAGAGAATCACATAAAAATGCTTGGCCACAACCAGAAACAAGAAATTATGAGGAAGGAAAAACAATCTCACATGTAAAGCCAAATATTGAACAAATATAGTAAATCACACATTTAAAAAGCTATTATGAAGGTTAAAAATGTATCAAACTCAACTGAAACTATAATAAGTAGGAGATATAAAACACAAAAAGATCTAAAATATTGCATCAATAACATAAAGAATGGAGGGTGGAGTAAAAATGTCATCCTTATAGGATATATTCAAACTTAAAAACCTAACAACATAAAATAAATATAGAATTATATACATAAACCTCATGGTTAGCACACAGCAAAAACCTACAAAAGCTGCACAAAGAATAAAGAGAGCCCAGCTGGTGTGGCTCAGTGGTTGAGCATCGACCTGTGAACCAGGAGGTCATGGTTCAATTCCGGGTCAGGCCACATGCCTAGATTGTGGGCTCAATCCCCACTGTGGGGTATCCAGGAGTCAGCTGATCAACAATTCTCTTTCATCATTGATGTTACATGTCTCTCTGCCTCTCCCCTCTCTATTCCTCTCTGAAATCAATAAAATACATTTTTTAAAAAAGAATAAAGAGAATGGAAGAAAACAAAGCACTAAAGAAAACCAGCAGACCACAAGCAAGGGAAGAGATCAAGAAAAGAAGAAAGAAAAAGAGAACTATAAAAACAACTCCCCAGAATTAAAAAAAAAAATAGCAAAAAGTACATACTTATCAATAATTATTTTAAAAGTAAATGATTAAATTATCCAATAAAAAGATATAATGTAGTTGAATGCATTAAAATAATTTATTAGTATGCTGCATACAAGACTCACTTCAAATCAAAAGACACATACAAACTGAAAGTGAAGGAATGGCAAAAATATTTTATGCAACAGAAATGAAAGGAAAGCTCTGATAGTAATACTCGTATCAGACAAAATAGACTTTTAAACAAAGAAATGTGTAAAAAGGCAAAGAAAGACTACATAATTATAAAATGGTCAGTTCAAGAAGAGGATATAACTATCATAACTATCATATCCATGTACCCAACATAGGAGCACCTAATATATGAAACAGTTATTAATGGACATAAAGAGAGAAATCCATAGTAATACAATAATAGTAAGGGATCTTAATACCCTACTCACATCAATGATAAATCATCCAGACATAAAATTAATAAAAAATAATGACTTTAAATATTACATTAAATCAGATCAACTTAGCATATCCATAGCACATTTCATCTTAAAAACTGCAGAATATACTTTTTTCAACTGCACATGAAACATTCTATAGCATAAATCACAAGCCTCAATAAATTAAATTTCAATCAAGAAGACTGAAATCATATCCAGCATGTTTTCTGACCATAATGCGTGAAACTAGAAATCAACTACAGGAAGAAAACTGGAAAAAATCTACAAATATGTGTAGAAAAAAAACAACATGATACTAAACAACCCATGGATCAAAGAGGAAATCAAATAGGAAATAAAAAATCTACCTTGAAACAAATGAAAACACTACTTTTCAAAATTTATGGTATGTAGCAAAAGCAGTTCTAAAAAGGAAGTTCATAGTTATACAGGCCTACCTCAAGAAACAGGAAAAATCCCAAGTAAACAATCTACTTTTCACCTGAAGGAATTATAAAAAGAAGAACAAACAAAACCCAAAGTAAATGTAAGGGAGAAAATAGGATCAAAGTGGAAATCAAAATATAGAAATTTTAAAAACAACATAAAAGATCAATACAATTAAGATTCTTTGAAAAGACAAACAGAATCAACAAATCTTTAGCCAAACTCATCAAGAAAAAAGAGTCCAAATAAATAAAATCATAAATAAAAGAGAAGTTACAAATGATACCACAGAAATACAAAGAATACTAAAAAATACTACAAACAATTATATGGCAACCAATTTGTTAACCTAGAAGAAATGGATACGTTCTGGAAGTATGTAACCTTCCAAGAATGAACCATGGAGAAATACAAAATCTAAACAGACCATTTACGAGCAATGAAATTGAAACAGTAATAATGTTTTAAAAAGACTCCCAACAAATAAAAGTCTAGGGCCAGACAACTTCACAGCTCTGTTCTACCAAAAATTTAAAGAAGAAAGAATGCCGATTCTTCTTAAATTATTTCAAAAAAGTGAAGAGAAAGGAGTGCTTCCAAACTCATTCTATGAAGCCAGCATTACCTTGATACAGGCAAAAACATTACAAAAAAATTACAAGTCAATATCCTTGATGAACATATACAAAAATTATTGAAAAAATGTTAGCAAACTGATTCAACAAACATTAAAAGCATTTTACACCATGATCAAGTGGGATTTATCATCACAGGGATGCAAGTATGGTTCAATGTCTATAAATCAATCAACATGACATACATCATGTTAACAAAATAAAGGATTGAAACTTCTGGTCAAGATGGCAGTAAATAAATGTGGTACTCACATCCTCCCACAACACAACAAAATACACCTCAACTACAGAACAAGCATCATTCAGAACTACCTGGAATTTAGCTGAATGGAAGTCCTACAACTAGGGATTTAAAGAAGCCACATTGAGACTGGTAGGAGGGGCGGATACATGGAACAGGCTGGTTCCACACTCACAAGTTGTAGATAACAATCAGGAGGGATCGGCTGCAAAGATCTCTCCTGAGAAGTGAGGGGTCCCAGCCCATGTGAGGCCCCCAAGCCCAGGGTTCCAGAGACAGGAAGAGAAGTCCCCATAACTTCTGTCTGTAAAAACAGACGGGCATTGTGGCTGAGATGGAGGGCTGCTAGAGTCACAGGCAGTTCCCTTTCAAGAGCCCACACAAAGATTTACTCAGACTTTCTTCCTCTGAGCTCCAGCACTGGAGCAGCAGCTTGAAAGGACCCAGGGGCATACAGATAGGAATTGAATTGTCTGGCATCAGGTTGAGAGCTGGTGGGCAGCTTTCTGCCAGACAAAAATGCTAGCAGAGGCCATTGTTCCTTTTCTGAGAACCCCTCAACAGAGCCAGCAGTTGGATGCCATATCTAAATCTCCATTAATCTGACTCACAATGTTTACCCAACCCTGGTGATTCCCTACCCAACTTCCCCACCCAAACTGTTTCCGGTGGCTTTTCCATACAAATGACCTCTTTTGCATCATGCTATGGACTTTTCTAAAATTTCTCAAACAAGCAGCATCTGGCCTCTATGTACACTGTACTTCTTGCTAAGTGACCCCAGACTCAACATCAGCAGCAGTCCACCTTGGTTCATAGCTTGACCTCTCCTGGGCACTCCAAGCCCAACACAAATAGCAGCCATCTGAAGATCATTCTGTAGCTCGTGTTGGGTGGCCTGAGGCAGGGCACACGTGGTGGCTGACCTTGCACCTCCTTGGAGGCCCCAGAGGCAGTGCATTGGTGGATAGCTTCAGCCCAGGCTGGATTACAACCCTACCACCTCCATGAGTGGCACACTCAAGGCGTGGACTTGGTGAGCACCAAAGCCAAAATGAAGCAAGACCTGCTTCATGGGGTCTACTCCTACACAGCAACTCTTCTGCTATAGTTGTGGCCAGTTCCCACAGCCAGTTGGCCTGGGGTTCAATTC